TTAGGCCTGGGCAGGGGCCCCCTCGGCTCTGATTGCAGGCTCAGGCCCTGCCAGGAGCCCCCTGGCTCAGGCCCTTCCTAGGCTGCTCAGGGCCCAGAGGCTCTCGAGTGACCTGGGTGCCCAATGATGTTTCCCGTGACCAGGCCACTGTTGCCTAGTATGCAAATTAACTGCCATCTTAGTTGGGTTAATTTGCATATTTGCTCCTGATTGGCTGATGGGCGTGGCTGGTGGTTGTAGCAGTGGGTGTAGCAGAGGTATGGTCAATTTGCATGTTTCTCTTTTATTAGATTAAGTATGTATCTATATCTACATCTACATCTATATCTATATCTATGAACAAACTCATAGGCACTGGATCATCCTTATTTTGCAGAAAGATAAGGTGTAGCATTGAGAGGTTAAATAATTTGCCTAAAGTCATTCAGCTACTTAAGAAGTAAAATCAGGCTTTGAACTCCGATAGTCTGGCTCTTGAAACTACATGCTTAATCCCTGTATTGCCTCCATATTCTGCTCTATAATGCAGCTAATGTTTATTTTAATCTAAACATGTTTCATGTTATCTGTAAGTAAAATTGATATTCCAGGAAGATGTGCCCTGCTTATACTGTGGCTTTACCCCCTAGTTCATATATGTAACACGCTTTGAAAATCGTGTCTATAGAACTGTGCTGCCCAATGCAGCAGCCTCTAGACCAGCCGTGGGCAAACTACGGCCCGCGGGCCGGATCCAGCCTGTTTGAAATGAATAAAACTAAAAAAAAAAAAAAGACCGTACCCTTTTATGTAATGATGTTTACTTTGAATTTATATTAGTTCACACAAACACTCCATCCATGCTTTTGTTCCGGCCCTCCGGTCCAGTTTAAGAACCCATTGTGGCCCTCGAGTCAAAAAGTTTGCCCACCCCTGCTCTAGACCAGCGGTTCTCAACCTGTGGGTCGAGACCCCTTTGGCGGTCGAACGACCCTTTCACAGGGCTCGCCTAAGACCATCCTGCATATCAGATATTTACATTACGATTCATAACAGTAGCAAAATTACAGTTATGAAGTAGCAATGAAAATAATTTTATGGTTGGGGGTCACAACATGAGGAACTGTATTTAAAGGGCCAGAAGGTTGAGAACCACTGCACTAGACGCATGTGGCTTTTTAAAGTTAAATTGATTAAAATTAAACACAATTAAAAACTCAGTTCCTCAGTCACGCTGACCACATTTGAGGTAATGGATAGCCACACATGTGCCTAGTGGCTACCATATTGGATAGTGCAGAGCCTTGACCATTTTTGTTGCTTCTGAAAGTTCCTTTGGATAGTGCTGCTCTAGATCATGTAGACTTACACAGAATCCGACTAGGAAACTGAATACTTGGACCATATCATTTGATCCCTGCAAGTTTGTATTTTTTGAGTAATGGTAGTATGACAGGCAAACCCCCAAATCAAAGTGGCTTTGCACAATTGAAGTTTTTGTTTCTTTCATCCATTGAGCCTGTTTTGTGGGGCAGTTTTCCTCCAAACAGTGATGTCGGGTCCTGGGCTTCTTCCATATTCTCCATCTTCAATATATAGCTTCCAAGGTCACTGCTCGCCTGTTTCAAGCTATCAAAATGGGAAGGAGTATGGAGAAAGTGTGTTTTTTATGGACTGGGCCTGCATATGGCTCATACATCATTGCCTTGAATTCAGTCATATGACCACACCCAACTGCAAGGAAGGCTGAAAACTATAGTCAAGCTATGTGACCAAGTTGAAGAGGAAATGGGATTGGTGGGCACCAAGCTGCTATCTGAGGATATTTTTCAGTATGACTCTTATCTCACTAGAGGCCTGATGCACAAAATTTATGCAAGAGTAGGCCTTCCCAGCCCTGGCTTCGTCCGGAAGGGCATCTGGACAGTTGTTCCGCTGCTCGGCCGTTTGGTCGATTTGCATATTATGCTTTTATTATTATAGATATGTGATGATCCATGATGCCTTGATTGCCATGGACAGACTTATTTTCCAGGAATTACTGGTGTACTTTTTCTTTATGGAGAAAGAGAATTCTGAAACTTTAACTTAAAAATTTTTAAATTGAATTTATTGGGGTGACATGGTTAATAAATATATATAGGTTTCAATATACACTTCTATAATACATCATCTGTATATTGCATTGTGTGTTCACCACCACAAGTCATCTTCTTCTGTCACCATTTATTGACCCATTCTACCCTCTTTTTTAAAAAAATATATTTTATTGATTTTTTTACAGAGAGGAAGGGAGAGGAATAGAGAGTTAGAAACATCGATGAGAGAGAAACATCGATAAGCTGCCTCCTGCACACTCCCCACTGGGGATGTGCCCGCAACCAAGATACATGCCCTTGACCGGAATCGAACCCGGGACCCTTCAGTCCACAGGCCGACGCTCTATCCACTGAGCCATACCGGTCAGGGCCATTTTACCCTCTTGTATCCCTCACCCCCCTTTCCCTCTGGAATCCTCTGGTTGTCTATGTCTGAGTTTTTGTTTGTCTTATTTGTTCATTTGTTGCTCTCAAGTTTATATGCCACGTAAGAGTGAAATCATATGGTTCTTTGTCTGTTTGACTTTGCTTAGCATGATGTTCACAAGTTTTATTCATGTTGTTGCAAATGGCGGTATTTTATTTTTTCTTCTGGCTGAATAGTTAGTATTCCATTGTGTGTATGTATCACATCTTCTTTATCCAATCATGTATTAAGGGACACATTGGTTGTATACATGTCTTAGCCACTGTGAATAATGCTGCAATAGGGGTACACATGTCTTTACGAATAAATGCTTTCTGGGTCATAGGGTAATAACTCTGTTCTTAATTTTTTGAGGAACCTCTATACTGCTTTGCATAGTGGCTGTGTCAATTTATATTTCCACCAGCAGTGAATGAGGGTTCCTTTTTCTCCACAACCTCTCAGACACTTGTTATCTATTGTCTTGTTGATAAAAGCCATTCTAACAGGTATGAAGGGGTAGCTCATTGTGGTTTTGATTTGCATTTCTCTAATAGCTAGTGAATATATCAGCCATTTGTATGATTGTCAAGATGCTCATAGCCAAATCTGTATTACAAGTATACACTGAGTGGCCAGATTATTATGACCACCCCATCAGTACTTCATTGACACTTCCAAAAATACTGAATTTTGAAAACTTCCAAAGCAAATACTCTCAAGGTTTTATTATTATTTGCATAACTAATTGACTTCATTGTACTGATGGGGTGGTCATAATAATCTGGCCGGTCATAATAATCTGGCCACTCAGTGTAATACTGGTAGAATTCTAAAGAATCCTAAGCCTACATGATTGCATTCTAACTTTCTCATGTACTTGGTTTTCTCTTTAGTCTTTTTTTTTATTCTGATTTTTATGAATTTATTATATGTGTTTGTATTTATATTGTATAAGCTGTCTCAACTTATTTGTTGTAATAAAGTAAGATTGTAAATAACACTGTCTTTCACTAAAATGCAAATATTCAAAAATCATCACTGGTTATTTATAGTCATATATTCTCTCTCTTTTGGTGTAAAATATTAATACCGCAGAAAGTTCCAGAAAATGACATAACAGGAACCCTTGTTTTGTGATTTGGATTTTAGCATGTGTAACATTTTGCCCTATGTGCCTTAGGTCTTGATTTTTAAGATAAATTAAAAAAACAGATAAAGCCATTTTTCTTTATAAATTTTATAAATTCTTCATAAAAGCTCATAAATTGTATTTCATTGTGTTTGAAAACTTAGGTAAAAATTCAAGATGCCTGGGCGTTCCAGTTCAAATTCAGGTTCAACTGGTTTTATATCCTTCAGCGGTGTAGAATCTGCCCTCTCTTCCTTAAAAAACTTCCAAAACTGCATCAACACTGGAATGGACACAGCTTCTAGTGTTGCTTTGGATCTTGTGGAAACTCAGAGTAAGTAGTCGTAATTAAAATGTATTTCTTTTGTGTCTACTTTGAGGTAACTTGTGTGGGAGCATTATGCTAGGGATGCGAGGTATGCTGTCTTTGTGTGTACCCTTGGGGCAGTCATGTAATCCCTCTGGGCACCTGTTCTTTCATCTTGTTCTGTATGTCATATAGCGATGTGCTGAGGATGAAATGAGAATGACTCATTCATGTGTGTTCAAGCAGTTATGTGCCAATAGGAACCGCACTGGAAATTTATGGGCTAAAATATGAAGGTTCCTGACCTCAAGGAACATACAATCAAAAGTATGTGGCATTTGTGAACTTTACAGTATACAAATGCATTTGATAAATGTGTTTTCCAGTAACTTAACTCTGCAGTGGAACATCAGTTCTCGAACTTAATTTGTTCTTGGAAGGTTGGTGGAAAACCGAAGCATTTTTTTCATTAGAAATAATGTAAGTTGAATTAATCCATTCCAGACCCCCAAGTGGTTCCCTGTTTTAAACCTTTCTTATATACAGTAAATGTCTAATGTACTGTTTAACCTATAAATAAACACTTTAAAAACAAAAAGGACATGAAATGTAAATGAAAATTTAACAAAAAGGAAAAGAAATGTACAGTAAAAATGAAAATTTAATAATAATAATAAGCGGCAACAAACTAAAAAAAATACCTATGAAACTATTCACAGCACATTATCCTGAGATGTTAATGATGGTAAACTGACTCATACTCTCGCATTCTTTCCTTCATTTGTTGCCTGAGAGACACATGGCTGACTAACAGATAGTATGAAAGGGTTGTCGAGTCAAGAAGCGAATTGTTCGAGATAGGAGATATTCAAGAAACGAGGTTTAACTGTATTTTGATCACCTTATAGACAGACTAAGCTTATGCTAGAGGTACTACTGCCAAAGGAAGGCCTCTACAAAGGAGACCAGCTTCAATGGACTTGACCAACATTTTTGGATCAGAATATCTAGAAAGATGTTATTTGCTTTCTTTGGATTACAGTTGTTTTTAATCTTATACTAGCGACCCGATGCACAAAATTCGTGCAAGAGTAGGCCTTCCCCTGGCTGCCAGCACTGGCTTCCCTCTGGCACCCGGGACCCGGGCTTCCCTCGCAGCCCTAGCTTTGTCGGGAAGGACATCTGGTCTAATTAGCATATTATGCTTTTATTATAATAGAATAGATGTGGAGGCAGGGGATCAATATTATCTTTTTGTTTTCTTTTTAATATCATTGGTTTTTGTAATTTGATTGTGATGTGCCCTGGTATGATTTTCTTTGTTTATTCTGTCTAGTGTTCTTTGAGCTTTATGGATTTGTGGGTTTACAGTTCTGATCAAATTTGGGAAAATTTCTGCTGCTATTTCTTCAAATACTGCTCCTTCTTACCCCCTCTCCATCTGGGACTCTAATTACAAGTCAGAGGCTCAGTTGGTTTTTCCCCCCAGTCCTTTTTCGCTCTGACACTAATTTGAAAAGTTTGTATTTCTATGTCTTCAAGTTCACTATTCTTGTTTTCTGCAGTGTCTAACCTGCTATTAAGTCTATTCAGTGAATTTTTAATTTCATGGGGTGGATTTTTCAACTGTAGATGACATAAGAAAGAATTAAATGGAATCTTATTTCTATCTTGCATTTCTCTCTTATGTTCATGTTCTATAATCTTGAATATGTGGAGCATATTTATATAGCTGTTTCAATATCTTTGCTAGTTCTATCATCTCAGTCTATTGCTGCTGCTTAACATGGACATTGTATGTATTATGTTGTTGAGCGTTTGGATTTTGTTGTCTTTCTTTAAAGAGTTTTGGTGTTTGTTTTGCCAGGAAGTTAAGTTATTTGTGGATTGAGCTGATCCTTTAAACTTTATTTACACTAGGGAAGGTCTAGTGTAGTTTTACTTTAGGGCTAATTTAGCTTTGTTACCTTGGCCTTTCTGGAGTCTCTGTTGATTGTCTGGAGGGTTCTGTGAGAGCTCTGCTCTGCTGGGTGGAATCTGAATGTCCTTTTTTATCTTTTAAGTTTTCTTTTTTAAAAAAAATATGTTTTTTAGTGATTTTAAAGAGAGGAAGGGAGAGGGAGAGAGAGAAAGAGAAACATGGATGTGAGAGAGAAACACCAACCTGTGCCTCCCGTGTGCACCCCAGCCAGGACTGAACCTGCAACCTGGCCATGTGCTCTGACGAGGAACATCTTCCAGTGCTGTGTGAATTCTGGGAATTGTTCACTTTACAGCTCCCAGCTCTTCCTCAGCAGCTTAGGCTTCAGCATCAGGCCCAAGGGATCGCTGTGCAGATTCCTAGGGCACTTTCCCTGCGTAGCTCGCTCCCAGGGCTCTGTCTTGCAAACCCCTGCTGCCTCAGCCTTCCTGAACTCCAGTCTCTGGCTCCTAGGTCCTTTAAGGCTTCTGTGCTCTCCTTGCCGCCCCCCCCCCCCCCCCCCCGGCACCTCCACCCCCTCCCCCTTGCAGGGAGGAGGACACTGGCAGGACTTATCTCACTTGTTTCCTTTTTTGCAGGAATCATAGTTCCCCTCCACCGATTGTCCCATTGTCAAAGCATTTGTTTCGTATATTTTGTCCAGGTTTCTAGTTGTTTATGGCTGGAGGGCTAGTTCCATAGCAGTTATTCATTCCTGGCTGGCAGCAGAAGTCACCCGTCATCTTTAGTGGGTGGCCTCTAAAGGTCTTCAGCCTGCCCAGCCTGATTTGTAGTCTATTTTTGGGTATTTGGCTTTGGTGTGTAGCCCTGGTCCTAATAAAATCTTAAATCATAAGAGGAGAGAGCTGGAACATAAACCTCCTGTAGGATTGTATCTGTTTATTTTCAGGATTTGCTTCTGAGTGTTTTCACTATGAAGTTCCTTTTTTTTTTTTAAAGTATATTTTGGTACAAAATACAACATGCTCTATGTAATTTAGAAAGAACTGTAAGCATTGCTTTTTGAAAGGTTCGTGCTCTAAAGTGGGAGTCAGCCAAGTTTTTCTGTAAGGGATTAGATAGCAAATATTTTCAGCTTTGTGGGTCATGTGGTCTCTGTTGAAGCTCTTACAATTATTTTGAAAATAGTTTTGACTCTGCGGACCTCATATAAGGTTCTCAGGGACCACAGCCCGAGAACCACTGGTTATGAAAGTGAATGGGACTGCGCTGAGCAGGCCAGAGATGGCATGAGGAATTTCCTACAGAGGGAATGCCATGATGCCCCCCACTGGAGTAATTCAGCAAGAGCTTATTAAAAAAGCAGGTTTAATGTGGCACCAGACTGATGTGTTTTCTAAGGACCCAGAGAGGAGGAAAACTCCTGATATTTCAGGACATTTAGTTACCTGAGAATTGAATTTCTCCCTTGCTAATGGGAATGGGGTTCTTGGACACCGCTGGAATGAGCACTTCTGGAGGCCCCCACTAGAGGATGAGATGTGGTAAAAGGCTTTATTTTTGTGGCGTTACATTCCTCAGGCTCCAAAGTCCCATCTCCCCTAATCCAGTCCTGAAAGAGGGGCAGCTGGGGCTTTAGCAGAGTTTAAAGCAAAGTCAGTATCCAGAGCTTCGGTTCCGTGGTGAAGCTGAGTCCCCTGAGGCTAGATTCAGTCCATGTGTGGGTCCCACATGGCCATGAGCCACATGGGTGAGTGCAGAGCGTGGGAGCCCCACAAACCAGGAGTTAGGCACGAGCAGCAAGAAAGCAAGAGAGAGAACTCCCTTTGTTCTGGAGTTTAAATATTAAATCTTCCCGAGTTTGCAGTGGCCACACCTATTCTGGCCACTGACTTGCTCCCAGGTGACTGCATCTTCCCACATCTCCCAGACTTTACTGGGCATGAGATGAAGAGGACTTGATTTGTGTGCTTTGTATCTTGTGCGCACACTGTCAGGTAGGCGGACAGTGCAGGGCTGTGCATGTGGAATGCCTGGTTCTCATCCCAGCTCTTCACTTACAGTTTTTGTGACCTTGGGCAAGTTCTATTACCTCTGTTTGCTTTTATTTCTCATTTGTAAATGAGATAATACTAATTATGTAGAGCAGTCCTAGATGCTTAAGTGATCAGGAAATGTTAGCTATAATTATTTCAGTCATGTGGTTTGCATTTGAGTTGACTACAGTGAATGGATTGTGAGAAATTGAAGTGCAGAAGAACAGGAGGGGAAGTTCATGAACTATCCTCAGAGCAGTTCCCTTTTCCTCTTAACCTTATAAGGTGAGGCACACTTTGTGTTGACCTTTTGGGTTGTCCAATTTCTTTCTTTTTTTTTTTTTAGAAGGAATGAGCTTTGTTCAAATAGACGGTAGTGATCACTTAGGTATCATTATCTCACTCTGCACTGCAATTCTTGTCACTTTATTATTAAATCACTGTTGAAGGGGATTCTTGCCACCAAGAACTTGAAGGGTGTGGATGTGTTCTGTTTTGTTTCCTGTTGGTTGCATATTCCTATACCAGATGATTTTTCTAGCTTATTTGAAATAATCACTTTTGACTCTGTTGTGTTACTGCATAATGGTGTTTAGGCCAGCTGTCGCCAACCTTTCGGACCTTGGTCCACAGACCACGGGTTGGCAACCATTGGTCTAGGCCCATGGTTGGCAAACTGCGGCTCGAGAGCCACATGTGGCTCTTTGGCCCCTTGAGTGTGGCTCTTCCTGAGCCTTAGGAGTACCCTAATTAATTTAATAACAATGTACCTACCTATATAGTTTAAGTTTAAAAAATTTGGCTCTCAAAAGAAATTTCAATCGTTGTACTGTTGATATTTGGCTCTGTTGACTAATGAGTTTGCCGACCACTGGCTAGCCTAGGCAATTGGACTCTTACTGCCACCGTGTCTATTAGTCTTTCTCTAAAATTGTTGATTTTCTAGAAGTAGCTTCTTTATTTGACCTAATTGGGAAATGAAATTTGTTACATTAGGAGATTTTTTGAGATAACAGGAACTTATTTTTCAGAGTTTTAAATTTATTGTATACTTTCCTGCTATCTTTTTT